GGACGAAGAAATAAAATAGAGGCATTAAAAATACAAAATGTACATCATGTAAGTAAGATATTGTAATAGTTTAACAAAATATTTTAAGCGGTACAAGGTATAATATGAGAAGGAAGGATGGACAAATAGACATACACCCATATCACTATATACCACATGCTTCTTAAAGTAGAGATGGGGTATAATATTGATACTCATACTCGTATAGACCGAACACTATAATATATGTAACTTGCTAATACAGGAACCGTTATTATAAAGATTTTAATACCGAACGCTACAATTCCATATAGATTTTGTTATACAGAAAAATTAATTTGCAGATAAACATGATCTTTGTGCAGTGTTCTTGTTGGGTTTGTAAACATGCTTCAAATGAATAAATGATTAAAAATGCAACAATTAAGTCGTCGTAATACTGCAAGTCTATATTGTTATATTTTTTTCAGCAACTCCGTAACTATAACACTTCTTAAAACGCCTATTTAGCAGAAAACAGTCCAATTTCTTTTTCGCTTATTTAAGCTTTGTCCTTATGTTTATCAAGACAAAGTAAAATATCAATGCCTTTGGTAAATTTTACATGCATTCATAATACAGTAAATAAATAATAATGGAAAAACAGTAAATGTCAACGCAAAAAACAGTCCAAGACGACCTCATTTTCATTTTTGTTACAAAACTAATATATATTTCTTCTTTTGCAGTACTCACTGTTAATAATACGACAGATTAAATGACAATGCTACGTTACTAAAGTGATCTACCACTATTTTTTCATCCTGATGTCTCAAAAAACGAACATGACTGCCTGCAAAATTAAAGGATAGCAATTGGTTGTATCGTAATGCACCAGACGCTCCCTCTTTGGCTAACGCTAATAGAAATGAGCCTACAATTAATGTCGTCGTTCGTCAAATCATGTTTTTTTGCGCTACCATTAACATCAACCGGAGTAAAAAAAAATAGGGTTATTTTTAACAAACATAAACCGTTAATCGACATGTTTGGGTATCCCATTCCCACACTCATAGAATGTACGATAACGAAATTTAATGTCCTATCCTATTCCAAAACTTAAAAGATTTGTATTTCAAATGAGAACAAATATAAGTATTTCTAAAGGGTAACATAAACCTATGTGATGAGGTGTCTATTTGATAAGTTTAATAAAGCATTTCATATTATATTTGTGCTTTTTCACAAAATTAAAAAATCTTTAAAATTAAGACAACATTCCTGTAGTTTACCGATGATTAAATCACATACTAGTAGATCGATTTAGAAGACAAATCAAGATAACACACACACATTATGGAATCTTATTTTCAAAAAGACCGGGTTCACGTCGACAGGATTATTACGAATAATTTGTAAATCATCCCGTCAGCAGTTTTACGGACGCCATCAAGAGTTGTTTAACCGTTTTTTAATATCTATGTCTGAGGTGACCACGGGCATGTTTCATTTGTAATAAAGATAATCCAGTCCTCTTTTCCTCTAGTGTTACATTACCGAATGACACTTGTCATCGCAATTGTGCTTACAAGTGCAACAGGACAGTTGCAACATGTGGAGCCGAAATTGCTGACCCTTTCGGAACACATGAGTTCACGCCAGATTTTTTATAGGGTTTTTCTTGCTCAGTCTTTAGCTTTCTAAGTTGTGTTTTGTGGACTTATTATTCTTTTCGCCTCCTTTTTTTCCAATGGCGTTGTCAATTTTTCTTCGACTTATGAATTGTTAATGTCCCCTTTGTATCTTCCGCCTCTTTCATATTTCTTAAATTGTTGTGCATTGGAATATTATTCACATTAAAACTGCTACTTCAAAAGTAAAATCTGAAATCTTACAAATAATTCTAAAAGTTATGAGTAAGTTGAATTCGTAAAAATATTATTAGTTTACTAAAATAATGTTCAATAAAGTAACGGTACAAAGCAATGCATTTTCCATATATAGTGAAATCGGATACACGCACCTAAGTTTAGAAATCCCCCAGTTGGTGTTATGTTAAGAGAGTTTTGTTTTCCTCAAAACATATTTTAAGGAAATTAACGCGAAACGCTTCATTCGCAAATTATTGATTTCAAAAGCGTTTATCATCCAATATCGAAATTCGAATTTTCCTATTGTGTTTTTAATTACACGATATTTTCCCGCTTATAGAATTTGTCAGTATTTTTAATCACATGCATTCATTACATGTGAATACTTTAATTGTATAATAACACATTTCCTATTTGTTGATATTGGTATGACCAACCCATTAGTCAACACTTCTGAATTGGCATGAAATATCAGAGATGCGGTCTTTGTTTTGCAAACTTTCATAATATTGAGGGTTTTCTTCACAAACTGCATAGATGGCCTTAGCAGCATTGGCAAAACTTCTCGGTTGTCAGTGCTCTTTAATTATATTTGATTTGGCCTTCTAAATGTCCTTGATAACCAATGACGATTTTGATCTAGCCCAAAAAACGCTCATCTGGCGTTACAAATTATAAGCCTGGTAACTAAATGAGGTTTCTTTTTAAATATTTATTGTGGTTTGCTGCTTTTTTATATGGACAAGCAAATGTTCTTCTTTTGGGTCTGTGGATCGGTATGGAGACTATAGTATATGCAGAAACACGTACTTATTTTACTTTGTTTCCTTCCATTACTTTGACAAAATTAATAGACATACATACATTCAAACCTTGAATAAAGAGTATTACACTCTTCTTATTGCCATTTTAAACTTTAAAAGTATTACTTTTTATTGACGTACATGTTTAATTGGTTAAAAAACCACAACTGTTGTTCTGTGTTCTTCATTGGTCGATGACTATCGTATTTGTTGTGTTGAACATATATAAGGCCGTTGGATTGATTTACATATTTTGGCTCGCTATATGGTGTGGCTTCTGTTCGTTATTTGCATTGGGGCCGAACAGTGACCATTAGATGCATGCATTTGGTCTGTGACAAATAGATGTTTCATTGAAAATCATACCATATCTTTATGTTTTACACAACCTTTTTTGAACAACCAATCGGTAGACTTAAGGAAAAGACCTAAAAAATTTAAAGCTTCTAAGAACCGAACAATAATTCAATTAAAATGTACAATGAAAACTGTTAGTTGTTCAATATTAAAAAAAACCTTGTCAAAATCTTTCAACATATAGAACTATTTACTATTAATTCAGAGATTTTTGCAATGTTATTAATACTACCTAAATTGCAAAAGAATAGTATAACATTTGATAGCATTGTTTGTATGCAGAATTTTTTGTAAATGCAATAATTAATCTCTGATTTTTGTTCATTCTTATAAAATCAAAATTTAATGAGGATTTTGGATAGGACTTACAGATTAGAACAGAAAATAACAATGAATAATGGGCCAAAACAATGAAGAATATTGAAAGATGGTTCGACCAATATAAAGAATAGAAAAAATAATGGGGTGCTTAAAGATAAAGAATAGAGAATAACTGACAAAAAATATACGGAATATAGAAATGAAAAACCCAATCCATACCCACTTAAATCCACGTTAACCTTTCAGAATTTACAGTACATAGCATAAAATAGTTATCGTCCATGTTTATGGGGGCAGTTGATCATTCTAGTCATATGCATGTTATTTCATGTCAACACGCTGACTACTATTCTAGTGATACCGCAAACTTTCAAAGGGACGACGTCTACTTTACCACCAGGAGCTCTCGGTTCAATAGCTTCCTTAGCTTTTATGCAGCAACCTTCTATTGATGAAGCCATGAAAGCGCACGCAGGCCCTAGAATATCGTTACAACTGGGAGATATGTTCTCAATTTCCAAGTGCTGCTGGAAAGTTGCTTTTGAAAAACGGAACTTTAAAAGTACAAAAATTAAATCACTTCTTGTGTCGTGTCTTAAAAAGTAAATTAACAAAAATACCGAACTCCAAGTGAAATTCAACACGGAAAGTCCCTTATCAATTGTAAAAGCCAAAAGCTCAAACACATCAAACGAATGGAAAACAACTGTCATATTCCTGACTTGGTACAGACATTTGGTAAATTTGTTCTTTTTACACCCTCTCTCTTTGTCATTGTCTGGATGTAAGTCAAGATATGAAGCAGAAATATATGCAGCCTTTATTTCAAGTTAAATGGGATAGATCTATGGTCAATATAGTCACAAAAAACACATTTCTTTAGTGAAGTACAATATCTATATAGCGGAACGTGAAATTAAATTATAATGCTAGCTATTGTTATTCTTCCTGACAAGCCCTTGTGTGAAGCCTTCTCGATAAGAATAAAGAAACATGTTGACAAGAAAATGAGCACAGTTGTAACCCATAGGAATGCTGATAGTTTATTGAGGAACACGTCCTAAAAATATAACATATATTATGTCAATAAAAATTAAGCATCTTTATTATTTCTGCTTCACAGAATATTTTGCTTTAATCAGATTGGGTTTATTTAACGGAAATACTATATTCGTTCAAAAACATGATAGTTGTATTTACATTGGACACTTTTTTATGAAAAAATATTTCAATCTGTCTCTAAGTTCATGACGAATTATTTATCCATATGTATAGGGCAGTGAACGCAAATGTTTTTTTTTAAACATCGCTCAAAGAAAATTACTTTTTATAATTTTTCAGTAATACATATCATACTTTTATTGAAATCCAACACTTCATTACAGACACGGGTATAGCGGACGGGTTGAGATATAAAACACCGTAGGATGGTGCCATAGAAACATCATTGTCAAAATAGAGAAAAGTTACCATAGGGAACGAAAAAGCGTTTCTTTTGTTTAACATTTTTGTGTAGAGTTTCCCGTGTAAAACTGAAATATCTAATTATAGGCAGAGACAGTTAGTACTTTATAGTTGATTATTTAAAGTTAATTCCATTGTGTCCATTTCGGCAGTTTATTTATAGAATTCTTGATTATTTAACTAAAAAATATCAGCAAGATAACGGTTGTAGAATTTATCAATTAAATGAAATTTAGACGGGTCTTTATTGAGTTTGGCCATAAACTGTGATTCATAGTTTACTACGTTCATTCAACCGGAAGACAAATCACCCTAACCAAACAATTTATCAAACTCCGTGCCTACCAGTCTCTGTGCTTACTCCTTACTGCTAATTTGTCGCAGCCACTATTCCTAATTCCAAATTGTAAATGCACAACAGAATAAATAATATCAAGTTTTAATGTTATTCTTAAATTAAATTATCACTTGAAATGAGTTTAACTTTCGAAATTCCTTTTTCAGAACCTGTCATTGAGGTTTTTTGCGTTTTCCTTGTCGTTGAATTTTATCTTTCTAATAAAAGAAAAATCATGACCGTGTATTTTCGCAATCTTATCTGATATCGCATAATTGGCAAAATAATCCCTAAGAAAATTTCACTATATTAAATGAAATGTTTTTTTTTAATTGAATCACAATGTAATTTTTGCAGCATGTATTTTGGCATTACTCGTAGAGGTGTAACATCCAATCAGTAGAAACCCTTCACTGTCAAGGCACAGACTCCGTGGACGTTTTATTCCTAGAGTTGTTACAGTTTGTATTCCAATGACTTCACCTTTTGTATTCAACGCATGTAATGCATTGTTATTTTTGTCGCTGACTATTATGATATTTGTCTTCGTGATGACAATACCCATTGGGTTGAATGGTTTTCGGGAAGTATTGATACTACTGTGACCTTTGTAAATAAATTTTGCACGACCACATGTTTCTAATGCAACGAGTCGTCCATCAAATTTTTCAAACTGATCAATTGCATATATGTTATTGTCTGAATCAGTTGATATCCTCCATATATAACTAAACAATTTTCGACCCTTTTGATCGTACTCAATCGTTAATTTGCGCTCATTTTTGGCTCCAAATATGGCAATTTGTCTGGTAGAGCATGTTTTGACTGGAAAGGGTGGTCCTTGTTCTCTAAGACCTAGGATTATTTCATTGCTTTTATTGATATGTATACCAAGTATTACCATATGCGAAAGACTAAAAATTGTTTTTATAACGCCGTCAGAGGATAAAACATTTAAAACGAAACTAGGATTTTGTGCGAAGTAAATGTTACCTTTACTGTTTAATGCAAAATCCATACATTCAATGTTAAAGCTTTGTAATACTTTTACTGATTCTTTTAATAACCGGATATTGAAATACGCGTATGTACTATCGTCTAAATAGTAACTGCAAAATAATGTATCGTTACCAGGATTGTATTGCATTTGACAGATAGCAGGGAGGGATGTCATATATGTGGATACTACTGACGATATAACTGGTTTTGAAATTTGTAACGATCCAAACTGGGCAGAAATATCACTATCCTCCTTTCCGACATCTTTTAAGGAAACTATTACATGTGTTTCAGCCGATTTAAATTTTGGGTGTATCCTTTCTTTACAGTTATCACACATTAACAATACGCAATCCTTACACCTCCATTTTATAACAGCTGGAGTATCACAAAGCTGACAAGACAGTGGAGATTGTGCTTCACTGAGGGATAAAGCCATTCTGTTGAAACCAATTCCTAAGAAATAGACATAAATTATTTTAATCACTATTATTCATTTTATAATATATCTTTTATATATCTTGCGATGGCATGCTTTCTCAAGATGGAATTATATATAAAAAAACACGACCCTCTCGCTTCATATTTCCATGTTCAGTAGATACAACCTAAGTTTGCATATTTTTATAAAACGTTCACATATTTCAGGCAAAAAGTGTCTTTGCAAGTTTTAGATACACGGCGTGCTTTAAGTGGTCTTCTTGATACTGTTCACCGTTTTGTTTACAACAGTTCTACACAATCTTATCAAACAGAAGTTTTCTTATCTAATAAAATTACACTTCGAAAATTCTGAATGCAAAATTATTTGCTGTACTTCTTATAAAGCCTTCTTCTGTAAATAATAAGCTAAATATACTGGATATATTTACTAAGAATTGGATCAAATAATTAAAACTGCAAGTGTTCTCCTTGACACCTTCTAATTAAGTCTTGACAATAACGTTTATCGACAGGTTGAAGGTATTACCATGGACACCAATTGTAGCCCTCGAATAGCAGACTTGTTTCTGTATGGATATGAATAACAGTTTATGGCCAAACTCAGTAAAGATCCATATTAATCCTATTTAATAGAAACACTTAACGTTACCTTGAGGATATTTTTGCTTTAAGTTATAATTTTTTTCTAATAATACCGCAGAAATTTATCCAAATTAATGTTATTTAAATAGATTTTAAAATCACTTCGATTACTGTTCATTTTTTAATTTGGATATAGCAGTATTACATGGAATATTCTACTTAAATTTGCGACAAAAGAGACAATTTTTTTCGTTTTCTGCTGTTAACGTTGTGATATTCCTTTCCCCCTGAATATTTCCCAACTTGTCCGTTTTGTCCGTGTCTATAACGATGTTTTATATGTCAATAAACATTTTTTTAGTATTAAGTCAAGGACTTCGTTACTTCAAAACTAAAATATGACAAACAAAACACTTGAAATGAGCTGCTTCTCCGCTCAGCACGCGGTATGTCTGAGTAAGAACAATGACGGGTCGACTCGGAATAGTCCGGGTAGGGTGATATGACTTCTTGAGGACTGTTACCTTGTAAATTCTTACGTAAAAATCCGGACCAGTATTCCTATAACGTTATCATGTTATCGCCCTGAAAATGTATTTAATTTGCAAGTGGATGTTTAAAAGCCATCCATCCAATATACACATTCTAGGCATACACCACTTTAAGTGGACAATATAGAAACTAGTCAAATTATTTTAAAAAGACATGACTCAAAGCAAATTCTGTGAATTTATTATTGTTCGTGGTGCATTACATTTCATTGATAATATCGGTATTGCGAACCATGAATTCAACATGTTCAAGTGTACCTCAAAATAAAAGTTTCTTATAGGCATGGTTGCAGAATTTGTCAAAAAAAAGTCAAGTATTCACTACAAGACAATGTAACAAGAAAATAAACAAATCCTAAGTACAAATTATACGTGTCTGCTAAAGACTAAAAGATAAGTTGACCTGCTGTCTTAAATACTATAAGGACGTCCGCAAATGCAGTTTGAAAAGGTTTTCTGGAATGCTTTGTACAACGAAAAAGATAACCCAATGTCCGCAAGGGCGTTCATCATACAACGGTATACGCAACGACGTTCATCATAAAAACGGTGTACGCAACAACGTTCATCATAAAAAGATGTACGCAACGACGGTCATCATAAAAATGGTGTATGCCATAACGTTCATCATAAACACGGTATACGCAACGACGTTCATCATAAAAATTGGTGTATTCAACAATGCACGCAACGACTTTCTTCATAAAAACGGTATACGCAACGATGTTCATCATAAAAACGGTATAGGTAACGACGTTCATCATAAAAATGGTGTACGAAACGACGTTCAAGAAAAAGATTATGTACGCAACGATGTTCATCATAAAAAACGGTGTATGCAACGACGTTCATAATAAAAACGTCGCGGTCAGAAGAGAATTGAAAGATACCAAAGGGAAATTCAAACTCATAAGTCGAAAAATAAACTGACAAAGCTACGGCAAAAAAGTAAAAGACCGAAAGACAAACAACAGGTTACCACTTATAACATAGAAAACTAAAGACTGAGCCATACGAACCCAACCAAACATCGGGGGTTAACTCTAGAAAACTAAAGACTTATCAACATGAACCCCACTAATTACCGTGGGAGATCTCGGGCGCTCCTGAAGGATAAGTGGATCGTGGTCTACATGTGGTACCCATCATAATGAGTTGAATGATATCGAAATGCTACAGCTGGAGATATAAAAAGTATGCGTTTCATCCCATAATAGCCACTGTAATTCCAAGTTAATTTCATTCAGCAACATAATATAGAGCAAAACGATATTGTGCAGTTTGTTTTCTAAACTAATTTGGAAACAGTCTTTAATATGTCTTGATATAAAAATAAGAAGACGTGGTATGATTGCCAATGAGACCAAATAACGTAGAAGTTAACATGAAATAAACAAACCTATCATTTTTTTCACACTCTAGTTACATGATACCAACGAATTGAAATTTAACGACTTTCCAAAAATAAATAGTACAATTATTTCAAAACATTTTTTTAGTTAAAACCCTTATTAAAAATGTCAGTCAAAACGAAAACGTTTATTCATTTGTTATATTAATATTTTAAGCCTTATGATCAGGTTTAAAAAAGAAAACAGAAATATCCTAACTTCCACGAGAAAAAAGCAATTTTTAAATGATCTAAATGATTTTGTGCAATACTTACTGTGACTAAACAGAATACTCCAATGACAAAGTTTCTTTGTCTGACTAAAACAAAACTTCCGACTTCACTTACTAACATGACTAATATACCTATTCTCCAAATAGTTGTCAAATTTCAAGTATTTGAAGGTATGTATTTAAAACGAGACAACGTATTTATTATGTTGATTTGACCGACGTACTTTGTATAAGGAATTTAGTCTTTACAAATTATAGATAACACATTATATAATAGTTTTAAAAGATTGACACAATGGTAGTAAATAAAAAATTCGATCTTTATTAGTTGTTAGTAGCTTTGAACTAGCTGTCATTAACTGCGAGTACTCTCAGATCTGTATGGGCTTTGCTCATTGTTGAAGGCCGTACGGTGACCTATATTTGTTAATTTCTGTGTCATTTGGTTTCTTGTGGAAAATTGTCTCATTGACAATCATACCACATCTTCTTTTTTATATTGTGGGTCAAATTTTCTGTTTAATTAAAAAAAGATTTCAGCGAAGATTCTTATAAGATTAAAAATAAAAAGATATTTAGTGACAACACCATACCCATAATAAAAAGAAGATAAAAAGAAAAGCAACAGTTTTTAAAAATTACATAGAAAATTAAAATATTAAGCCATTGAAACACCCATAAAAAATAGGGTGCTGAAGTTTACTGTTATGAATTAATCAGGAAATCCGGCTACATCTATATCAATCGTATTACCTCCCAAGAACGGCAACTGTCCTATAGCTCATGACAAGTCTGGTACTATCTTGTAATTTCGGAAAGGTGGGAAGATTGTGTCGCAGACAAATGGAACATATATGTAGTCATCTGTGACACTGATATTTTATACCATCAAACAACTCATGATATTGTCCTTAAAACTCCTAAAAAGATGACTTCAACCTTACCATTACACATGTAACATACATATACTATCCTACTGTCTGTCGATACATTTATTTTTGGCATTGCACAAGTCATGTCTTCTTTGACTGTCCATGACGTTAAAATACTAAATCCCTCGGATGTATTTTAATTGATTTTAGTCTCTGATGCATGAATTTTTTTATTATTAATTGTTTTGGCTTTTAACTAGCTGTCAGTAACTGCGAGTACTCTCAAATCGTACTTTCTTGTTTATGTGACCTGTTGATACTAATTGTAATGCTTTTTTGTTATTTCATGTTATTCAGGGTTATTGCTGGTCTATATACCAGCTTTTATAAGTTTTTGGTATTACTATAAATTTTCACTTCGTACTATGAACATCAAAATTATTTATTTTGTAAAAATATTTCCTTTCTCTATTGGAACTGTACATGTATACCTAACAACAAAATTATTTTAATTTACCTGTGTTTATATTAATTGCAAATGGCTCACATTTTTGTTCGAGCATATTGTTTTTCTTAAATTGTTTAACATTTCATACCGGTATAACATGTAACTTTTATTATTCTTCCCTTAGTTTATTTATTTTGTATTTACATTGTATCATAGGTCAAATTTATTTATTCAGTGTATGTTCACTGGTGTTAATATGTCCTTTGATTGAGTTAAGCTATTTCAGTTGATATTTTATAGTGTGTCTTTCTATGTTGTGATGTTACACTATTGTTTCAGAAAAAGGGTGAAGGTTTGGTACCATTAAACGTTTAAACCCGCTGCATTTGTTTGCACCTGTCCTAAGTCAGGAATCTGATGTTCATTAGTTGTCGTTTGTTGATGTGGTTCATAAGTGTTTCTCGTTTCTCGTTTTTTATATAGATTAGACTGTTGGTTTTTCCGTTTGAATGGTTTTACACTAGTAATTTTTGGGGCCCTTTATAGCGTACTGTTCGGTGTGAGCCAAGGCTCCGTGTTGAAGACCGTACTTTGACCTATAAAGGTTTACTTTTATGAATTTTGACTTGGATGGAGAGTTGTCTCATTGGCACTCATACCACATCTTCTTATATCTATATAATTATGTAACATTCATTGGTTCAAGAACGTCTTTTGTATAAGCAGCAACCCCCTATCAAAGTAATACTGGTATGACACACATCCTGAATTATCGAATTTATTGAGATACATGTATATAAATAGTAATTTTGCCGATACTGTGATAATGTGGTTACTCAATGAAACGATTAAACTAAGAAATAGTTAAAACAAATCTAAACTTTGAGATGAAGACTAGCAATAAAAGCACAATCCTATTGCTTTGTTTTTGTGAAGTATTATATTTTGTGTCATGAATAAATAAATCATATTCTATCTTTCACATAACAATTGACAGTATTTATCTCTCAGTCAGCCATTCTTGAGGTGTGTACTCATATTATTATGATTATGGTGTATTTCTTTCTAAGATAACTTCACTTATTTATACAACTATTATTTTATCCTTTAGATCTGGCTATTATCAAAATGTCTATGCAGTACATTTGAGTTTTGATATATATAGAGATATCAATAGATCCATGGAGGAGTTAATATCCGGTAAGAAAATGAAAAATCCTAAAGAAACTCTGGCAACAAATAAAATCCCCTTGATACAGTTCCAAACAAGGGGATGGAGCAAGTATAGTTTTAAACGTATCAGGGCAATCGTGTCATAACTCAAAATAAATTGCGAGTCATACAAACTCTTTTTTACACCAACGTAGCCTCTTCTTGTTTGAAAAATTACAAACTGTTCCAAAACTATTTGACGTCAACTCTATAGTGTTTAAAAAATTCTATTAAAAGTAACAAATAACAATCTCCAGTTAAACTTATCATATGTAAATCAGGAATTCATCTAAAAAAGATCTGAATGATTTAAATTCTTATAAAAGTACAGGTTTATATAATATTCCTGCGAGATTCATCAAAAATAGCACAAAAATTCTAGCTACAACAATTACTTATTGGTGAGCCTTTGAATTATAACTTGAATAGTGTTAAATGAATTAAAGCGAGCAGGAGTCGACCCTTTTTTTAACAAAAAGAATGATAAAAATGAAATAGGAAACTATAGATCATGTTTAAAGTAGTATATAACCTCATCATATATACCAGGGTTACAATTTTTGTACGCCAGACTCGCTTTTCATCTACAAAAGACTCACCACTGACGCTCGAATAAAAAATATAAAGAATCCTAATAAAATACGCAATCAAAAAGCATTGAGGACCCAATATTTCGAAATGTTTGCCACATACAGATAAGGTAATCTATTTCCTGGGGGTAAAAATCCTCAGTATTCCGAATAATTCAAAATTTTGTTAACAGTTAATTTATAATTATGGCCATATTAATAACAATTCATGTCAACACGAAACTGCTGACTACTGGGTTTGTGATATCCTCGGGGAGGAAACCTCCACCAGCAGTGGTATCGAACCAGTGGTTGTAAATAAACTCATCATTAAACTTTTAAAATAATTAGCTTACACCGTGTAATATGTGTAGAGTATGAAAGAAGACTGAGGTGTTACATTTATTTACTGTCGTGTATTGAAAGAGGGTCTGTATAAATAGGGAAAAAAAAGTAAAGTCAAGGACTGGAACACACTATCTAGTTCTCTAAAGTAAACTAAGGACCATGTCGTTTTTAAAGCCAAGTTAAGATTATATCTTAGAAATTGCTGAAGTGTGAATTAATTAATATCTAAATAACATCTTAAAGAAAAATAAGCTAAATTTGTGCAATTTTGCTCGTTGTTAACAAGTGATTGACATTAAAAGGACCCCATTGGAAATACGGGGAAACACTTTTAATGGTAATCCATTGAAAATTATCAATCTATAAGTGTATTTTAAGGTCTGGTTTGCATAATTTTTGCTAATAATTTTATGCTTCATATTTCTAACCATACTTGTAAATACTTGATAGCATTTCTAAACGAATTTGACCTTTTACCTTTTACCTTTGAAATAGATAACTGCAGTATTTAACAGATATGAGTTGCTCTTAGAATGTTAAAGTGTTTGTAGTGCGTCTGTAATTCAAACTGTATAATGTAGGACTTTAAAAAATGTGAAACTAGATAATTAAAAAATATACCATACTTTTAAAATACATATACTTTCATTTGTTCTTAATCGTCGAATTCAAGTTTCAGTTCAAAATTGCATTATTATCTTTAATGTTCAAATCTTATAGAATGTGTCGAAAAATTGTTTGTATTCGACGTCTTTACGATTAGCAGAGACATCGAACGGTTCTGTGGGAGATATTTTGAGATCGGTTTTGTCTCTGCGAATTAAGTATTTGACTGGCCTATTTCAAATTTATTTTGCCTTGTGAAGCGGCATAAACTGTATACTTTTAAATGGTTATCTGCAGTGAATTCTGTGGCAGTTTAGTATACGGGAAATAATTTTAGTGTGAATCGATCTGCCATGACATCCGACGACGTAGTTAACAGATGGTTTAGTCTTAAATCTGTCTCTCACATGACGTTGCTTAAATCAATCTTATACATATAACGTTGTTACTACAGTTTGGTTTGGCATAGTTGGTTATTTACTTATCATATCTGCCTTTACCAGTTTTGTAGGGAGCGACAGAGGGAACGCTGACGTGAAATTGTACTGGAACAGCAATTTGACCTTAACCTACCTGCAAAAGAGTCCTATGGATTGATGTAGATTTCCATACACAAACTCGGCAATATGTAAACTAAACAAAATATTGACTGATTTCTCTGTATGGATTCAATTAATAATTTGTTAAGATAAAAACATAACACAATCATGCATGATTTCAAATATTGCCTCAAGAAACTCCTGAAACGTCAATCACCTGGTATATCAGATAATCTCTGGTTAGTCAGGTATTGTCTTTTTCTTATCCGGAAAAAGTACGATAAGCGTATACTATAAAGATTATTCTCGGTTTGATAATATAGTATAACAAATCGCCGTATTTGAATATAAACAAAATAAAACAACACATGATCGAACGACGCTTAGATTGAATGAGTGCGCAGCACAAGTTAAACCAAAAGCGGCAAAGATACTAAAGGGATATTCAAACTCATCAGTCAAAAACGAACTGACAACGCCATGTCTAAAAAAACCAGACAAACAACATTTCACAA